GAAAATAAGAACAAGCCTTTAAAAAATTGTTTTTTTATGTTTATTCATTTTTGAGAGAGAGTAAGCAGAGGAGGGGCAGAGAGAGAGGGAGACACAGAATCTGAAGCAGGCTCCTAGCTCTGAGCTGTCAGCACAGAGTCTGATGCGGGGTTCGAACCCACAACCTGTGAGATCATGAACCTGAAGTCAGACACTTAACTGACTGAGCCACCCAAATGCCCTAAAAATAAGAACAAGCTTTTATACTATACAGAGTCACACACCAAGAAATACAAAAACATGAACAAAAAACAGAAAGAGAAGTCCACAGAAAAACTACATATTACTGGTCAATAAACATAAAAAAATGTTTAATAACTTATTATTAAATTATTTAAACAATTAGATATTTTGCCTTAGATCAAGGGGTTGCCAAACTATGGTTAATGACTCAAACGTGGTCCATTGTGCCTGTTTTAATGCAGCCAGCATGCTAGCGATATTTTTGTTTTTGTTTTTAATAAAAATGGCATGGCTGAAAAAAATAAGATTACTACTTCATGCTATGTGAAAATCATATGAAATTCAATTTTCAGGGTCCATAGAGTAAACAGCCATGCTTGTTTATGTACGTTTCTGGAGGGTTTTACTGGACAAGGGCAGAACTGGGCAGCTGGGACAGAGATGGCATAGCCCACAAATTCTGAAATATTTACTATGTGGGCATTTGCAGACTCCTAGTTTAACCTGTCAAAGCTTAAAAGTCTGACAAGACATGACTTAGCAAACATGGGGGTACAAAATCTTACACCCATTGCTGTTCCAACTCTTCTGAGAACAATTAAAATTTTAAATCCTCATCTGCTTGGACTCAGCTTTTAGGAAGGTCACCTATACATTCATTTGCGTGGGTACACTGCGATTTAGATGGGAAGGTTCCTTGGCTCAGCATTAGCACCAAAAGGCTTTAAACAGGTACTTTTCTATCAGTAGGAGAAAGGTGAACTAGGTATGTCTCTACGTCCAGATAAGAAAAGTGGTGTTAACCCTCCTACACTGTTGGTGGGAATGTAAACTGGTGCAGCCACTCTGGAAAACAGTGTGGAGGTTCCTCAAAAAATTAACAATAGAACTCCCCTATGACCCAGCAATAGCACTGCTAGGTATTTACCCAAGGGATACAGAAATGCTGATGCACAGGGGCACATGTACCCCAATGTTCATAGCAGCACTCTCAACAATAGCCAAATGGAAAGAGCCTAAGTGTCCATCCACCGACGAATGGATAAAGAAGATGTGGCTTATCTATACCATGGAATACTACATGGCAATGAGAAATAATGAAATCTGGCCATGTGTAGCGACGTGGATGGAACTCGAGGGTGTTATGCTGAGCGAAATAAGTCAGGCAGAGAAGGACAGATACCATATGTTTGCACATATAGGTAGATTAGGAGGAACTTAACGGAGGACCGTGGGGGAGAAGAAGGGGGGAAATAGTGGGGGAGAGGGAGGGAGGCAAACCATGAGAGACTCTTGAATGCCGAGAACAAACTGAAGGCTGATGGGGGTGGGGGGGGAGGAGAGGGGGGTGATGGGCACGGAGGGGGGGGGGGGGGGGGATGGGCACGGAGGAGGGCACTTGTGGGGATGAGCACTGGGTGTTATATGGAAACCAACTTGACAATAAACTATTAAAAAAAAAAAAGTGTTGTTAAATGTAGTCCTGTGTAGGAAAGAAGTAGAGTGTTTATGCTGTGCACTGCTTTATATCAACAATAACCAAAAAGGAATACATTTATATGATACTATTGCACAGGAAATAATAATATATGCAGGAAATTCCTGGGCCAATAAATAAGGCATAACAACGGTTACCCCTTAAGCTGAGAGCCTAAGGGTCTGAGATGGGAAAAAAAAAACAATTTTACAGTTTACCCTTCTGTCTTGCACGCATTCTTTTCTTTTTAATTAAAAAAAATTTTTTTAACATTTATTTATTTTTGAGAGACAGAGTACCAGCTGGGGAGGCGCAGAGAGAAAGGGAGACTCAGAATCTGAAGCAGGTTCCAGGCTCTGAGCTGGGTTCGAACTCACAAACTGCAAGATCTTGACCTGAGTCAGAGTCAGCCGCTTAACCAACTAGCCCACCCAGGCGCCCCGCGGGCATTCCTTATCACAAGAATATTTTGCTTCAATTTGAAACCCTGCTAACTATGTAATACCTAATTTTTGTAATTTTGGAGAATAAAGCAAAGTAACAGATCTGAATATGCAAAAATGCACAGACACTATACAGGGAGTTAAACGATAGGCAACAGGCTGGGGGAAAAAAACGCAATAAACAACAAAGGATTCGTACCCATCAAAAATGGAGAGCTTCCACAAATAAGAAATAGAACAACTCAAAAAAAAAACAAAAAATGAAGACAAAAATGGTGTTAGTCCAAAGTATTTGATTTAGGGTACCAAGGTCATCTAGATACGACCTCTGCCTTTCAGTCCCATGTCCCGCTGTCCTGGTCATACCACGACTTGTTGCCCAACTGTGTCAGATAGCATCATGCCTCTGAGGCACTGTGCACATTTTCCCCTCCCGCAACATCGGTCAGTCCTTGTTTATGAATTCCTCACTCTTCAAGGCTTGGCTCAACCACCATGTCTTCTAGAGTCCTTAAACAGAACTGACCTGTGTGTGTGTGTGTGTGTGTGCGCGCGCGCGTGTGCTTTGCCTGCAATGTCTGTCTACCTCTATTAAGCATTTATTTCTGGGGGCGCCTGGGTGGCTTAGTCGGTGAAGCGACCGGCTTTCGCTTAGGTCATGATCTCGCGGTTCGTGGGTTCGAGCCCCGCGTCGGGCTCTGCGCTGACTGCCAGCTCAGAGCCTGGAGCCTATTTCAGTCTGTGACTCCCTCTCTCTCTGACCCTCCCCTGCTCACACTGTCTCTCTCTTTCTCTCCTAGAAATAAAAAAATCAAAAACAAAAACAACAACAAAAACTAAGCATTTATTTCTGTTATGGCCTCTGGTGGTTTAGATTTTAGTCGTCTCCACTATGTTTCCAGAAGGCAAGCCATAGCTTGTTCTTTTTCTTCTAGGACCCGGCACAATCTTAGGACAGGGAGTACTGGGGAAACTGCAAGGGGCAAGAGAGGTCCGGCGAGGGCCCCACCTGGGCGGCTGGGCATTGAACACCATCCCACCCCCTCCCACCCCAGTGTGCAGGCAGCCTCACACGTCCCAGAGCTGACCGCTGGGACCACACAGTTACACAGGGATCCACTGTGGACCTAAATAAATCCCTGCCCCCAGGGAACCCTGTTACTCAGAGTCTGATGCTAGGGCCCCTCCACTAGAACTGAAGGTGGCCACACTTGGTGGAAACACTCTGTAACTGATGAAAAACTGAGGCCGTTCAACACTGTGATTCAAAATCCCATTGAAGGCAGCCTGGACGGACAGCAGCTTTGGACGGCACGAGTCACCTGCATACATGCATGTGTGGTGGGGCGTGGATAGAGAAGGCAGAAATATAGATGATTAGTAAACACATCTATCCGTATTTCAAAAGACTATTTATCAAAATGATCACAGAAAGCCTAGCTTTGAATCCAAAATGTCTGATGAATAAATACAGAATGAGTATTGCTTGTCTTTTTTTTTTTTTTTTTTGAATAATCTTTTTCTGTGCCTCTGCTCTTAATAGTTCATAGGATTTGAAAACCTGGGGAACAAGTCAGAACTGATGTTCACTACCACCTGATCCTCACAGAGCAGGGTTTTGGGAAAAAAGCATTAAAGATAAAGGTTAGCTCTGTGAACACACACAATACACACCCTGCTCTGTGGTGCTCAAGAGAAGCCCTGGGCCTGACCTCTGTACACTCACCACCACCAGCTATTTCTTTCCTCACAACACATTTCCATAAAAATGAATTTTTAAAATATCAAAAACATAATGCAATGCTCTGCCTACTTGATTTTATCTATTTTCCTTTGAGACTGTAAAAGACATGTTTGAGAAGTTCATAATAGTCTGATTCACCAGTGCATGAAATCCTATCACACACCAATGAACTATTTGTAAATGGATTTGTCTTCCTAATTTAAAGCATGAATTAGGTAGAACTATAGGATGAGAGGCGATTACTGACTAGCCAGGAATTATGCGGCATTTTAATTTAATCAGCATGCTTGCAAGTATGCAACATCAAGCACCAACCCCTTCCTATCTAGGAGTAGTAGTTATTAATGGCAGCATGCAAGAAAAAGACATGAAGTCTCAGTAGACCAAAAACTTAATGACTTAGTGCTGTAATGGGGCTGTCCAGAAACCTTGTTTTGAGCCCAGATCCATTAACAGTAATGTGCAGTCTCGGGATACGGTACCCTGGTCACACCCGCTTGTGCAAAGCTCTAGGCCTTATGGGTGAAGAACAGACGCAGGCAGAAATGTCAAAACCATGTCACACAAAAGGAGGATGAGAAACCCAGGACTCCTTTCGAAGAGTTTAAGCAAACACATAATACTGATTACTAAGTGCCTGTATTACACTATAAACACAACCGATACAATTAGGGAGAAGTAGCAAATATCCCTTTTCTTTTTAAAGAGGGGGAAACTAAAGTAAGAAGTACCAGACGGAGTTAATTCTCAATGCTGGGGGGGAAAAAAAGTGAAGTGAAAATGTGTCAGTATCCAGTTAATGTGTGTGGAGACCTAATTAGGTTAATTCAAATTTCCCAAAGGTCTTTTAGTTTAACATTATAATTAACCACAATTTTTTCTTTTTCGTTGTTGTTACATAGTCCTAACCTTAGAAATCCTCACTAAAGATCACTTTTAAAACAAGCTTCAATGCAATGTATAATCAAATCATAAATAGCTTTCCTTGGTTCTTATTCAAAATAGGTAATTACTAAAGAAAATATTAACAGTACACTTTCACGTTCCTCCAGCTCCCCGCTACTCACCCCAGTGTATGTTCTAGACAACTCTGGCAACGAAGACACCACAGAAATTATTATTTACAGTAAATTTTATTTTCATTGATATTTCATTTGACATAATTTCAAAGTAGGTCTGTGCTCTAAGATGAGCCGAAGAACAGAAACCCTAAAGCTCGTGAGAGATTTTTTTTTTCACGCTGTTCTGAGTAGGGAACGGGGCTTGGGGGGGCCCCAAAGTCGATACCTAACGTTTTACGCCTTGAGGCTTTACCTATAGGCACAGAATGGAGAACATCGACACACAAGAATCAAACTGTAATAAGCAGCTCTTGGGATACAAACCACCACCTCTTTAAGGCTGTAATGATAACAAAAGATTTCTTCTCTTGGAAAGTTCAATGTCATTTGGTTTTGGTTTTTTATTTCTTAGGTAAAATGTCAGAATATGTGAAAATGCTGTACTTGTTTCTCTTAATATACTAAAAATATGAGAAGTTTTTTAATTCTTCACGAGTCCAAGCTGAGACATGACTACTACTGACGGGGTCTATTCAACACACTAATTCCAAGTTTGGCGACCATCAGCAAACTGTTCAAAAGAAACACACAAACAAAAACACATCAGGTAAAGAACAGAACAGGTACTCGACTGCTTTTTTAAGAAACTAAGACTCCAGGTCCTCCACACTACATGGCGAGAAGATGCCAAGGCCAAGGAGGCAGAGGTGGAGCCTTCAATGTTGGAAGCATGAAGGAAATAACATGCCGAGGGGCAGGCTTGCCCTGCACCTGCCTCAAAATAGTACGTGTGAACTGGGAGCTCCCCATCTCACAATCAGGATTCCAAAGACATGAGCGACCGGAAGGCAGGGCACACCGAGGTCTCTCCAGGGTCACAAGAGCTAGCTAATGGCAGACTTCTAGCCTCCCAGTTTACTGCTCTTGAACTTGGGGCACATGGACTGTAAAGCACTAGGCTTGACAGCATTGTAACTATGATCGAAGTCAGGTAAGTAATCTTCCAAACAGATTTTTAAAACTTCTGTGCTCAGAGTATCTTTACCACACGTTAAGGAATACATTTTTAAAACCATTATGGCCTGAGTTTCATAACTCAAGTTAGACAGCAGGATTCAATTCAAATTCCCAAACAAATAACAAACAAAATGTTCGGTAACAGAGGACACCAACACATCTAAGAAACCTGGAATTCACGCTGAGAGTCGCAGGAAGAGCCGCAGTCATGGCTTTACGTGAGGCTCCTTCCGTGGCGGGCAGGAGCCAGGATGGACCAGATTGCAAAATGTGACAGCAAAATGAACTTACTTCACTTTGACATCAAATCAACTACTGTTTTTGCAGCCTTTCCTACTTGTGTGTAAATTAAATTGTTTTGGTTGATGGCCAGCATCAGACATACCAATGCAAGTAAATCTAGGAATGTACAACGCATCTGGGGCACTAAACTAAACTCCGTCCTGGTGAAGAACTGCAAGGGAACAGAAAATACCTGGCACCCGCGATTAAGCCTGCAGGCATAAATTTTCCAGAGTGGTAGAATCTCATTCCCATAATGCCAGCTAAGGTTCCAGATGTAGCTGAGGTGAAAGATAAAAAGAATCAAATGTCATTACATCTTCCATACGGGAGTATCAACATCCCATCCACCTTTCAAGGGCCAGACCCCACCTCACACCATGTCCTCCTTGCTGGAGGAGCTTCGTGGTCGGCTGCGCCCTATGGGAGGGACTAAGTGCAAAGACTGGAATATAAGGCCCTCACAGTCTGGGCCAAACCTGCCTTTCTGACCATTCTTCAGCCATAGTTTTCCCCAAATTTGCCATAGGTCTGGTCTCCTATTCCTTGCTGGTGTATTTACCTTAACTGTACGCTCTTCTGGTCAGCCTGTTAAAATACCTATTATATGTATTCCGTGCGCGGCAAGAGGCGCTGGAGGACAAAACTATCATCATTAAAGGTCTCAAAGGGGATCCCGCCTCTTCAGGAAAATTAGGAAATTGAGGAAGTGAAGACCAAAAAAGCCAAGACCTGAAAAGAAGTGAATGAGCTAAAGGGGGAACAAAGCACATACCAAGAAGAGGGAGTAATACCCATGGGGCCATGTGGTGAGAGGGAACTGAAGGCTCAACTATGGCCGGCGAGGAAGAGGGGGCAGAGCACACAGCCCTGACAGCCATACACAGGACTATGTTCTTCAGCCCAAGAGCAGTGAGAAGCCATTAAAGCACATCAGGCGGAGGACACACGAGCAGAAGAGGGCTGTACACACAGAATTCTGGCTGCTCCATGGAGAGCAGTCCGCAGCGGAACCAGAGCACAGAGGGAAACTGATGAAGAACTTCCTCGAGAAAGCAGGCAAGATAAGGGATAACTGGGCTGAGGATGGTGGCCATGGAGACTGAGGAGACACTTCAGGGTATGTGCTGGAGGTAGTGTCAACAGGACTTACTGCTGAATCAGACAGGAAGAGGGAAGGGAGGAGGACAAAATCCAAATAGATGGAAAACACTGGAACCAAACACGTGCGAGGACATGACGTCAGGTTTGGGCAGATGCCTGGAGACAACTAAAAGATTTCAAGCACACAATCTTTACTTAAGGAGTAAAGCTTGGAGGAGAGATGCCTATGTGAATCAATTTCCTGTTTCAATGGTAATTTAAGGCCTGGACCCCATGACACTGTCGAGCAAGAGGCTGTAAAGAAGATAAAAAGAGCCAGCCAGGTCTTAAGAACTTCAGTATTTAATGGCTTAAAAGGAAGATGGGTCGACAAAAGAGAACAAGAAAATAAGAAGGAAAACAGGAGAGTGGAAAATGGACTGGTCTACTATGCTGAGAAAGCTAAAAGGCCGACTAGAATGAGGATTAGAAAATGTACACTCGGGACGCCTGGGTGGCTCAGCTGGTTAAACATCTGACTCTTGATTTCAGCTCAAGTCACGATGCCAGGGGCGTGGGATTGAGCCCGCATTGGGCTCCACACTGAATGTGGAGCTTGCTTGGGATTCACGCTCTTTCTCTCTCTGCCCCTCCCCAGCTCATGTGCTCACTCTTTCTCCCTAATACATAAACATTTAAAAAATATATACACTGGATTTTGAACAATCCAGGCCACTGACAGGCTCAGGGAAAGCTATTTTTGTGGACAAAGGACACAAAAAGGGAGACTGAAGGGGGTCGAGAACGTGAGGTGAAGAAATAAAAGCAGGGCATATGATGGATTGTTTTAGAGAAGTTTCTGAAGGGGAAGAAGGGCAGGCAACTGGAGAAGGAAGCAGGGTCACGAGAGGCCCTTTCGTTTTTAACGGGTGAGAGAGGACTCATCTGAACACGAGTGCGAAGGATCCACCTGCAGGGCGGAACACAAGTAAGAGACGACATCTCTGGCCGCCTAACAGTCAGAGAAGATGGGGAGAAGAGACCCAAAGCCTGGGTGGAGGGACTGGCCTTCGAGAAAGAGCACAGCGCAAGGCCTGGACGCTGATGGCGTGGGCGTGCCGGAGCCCCATGTGATGACTGCAGGCAGTGAGGTCAGCTGCCAGAGCAGAGGAGCGCAACCAGACATGGGAATACAGGAAATCTGAAAGTCATCCCGGAGCTGCAGTGAGGGAGCCGGGAGGCGGAGCTGAGAGCTGGGCGCCTCCTCCTTCCCCCGGCGCACCCCAAATCGGCCGCCACCAACCTCCCTTCTCAGCCCACACCAACTCGTGCAAACCACTGTGTTAACACGCTTGTTCTCCCCACCACTTTTGTAAAGGCCAGAACTATGTCTTCCCACTCTGCGTATCTGTGGAGATGCCTACACTACTAGCAGAACAACTAATGCATGGGTGGGGCTCAATAAAGATGCACCCCAAGCCACGGTGATAAGAAGGAATCTTCCCTTTCCAGCGCTGCTCACTGGTGTGTGCTGCTCCCAGGGCACTACAGCAGCCCCAGTCACCCCACGGAGTCAGTCACCACAAAGGCTCCTTGAAGACAAGGCCTATGCCATACATTTAGCTTAGTGCTAAAAGCCTAATACGTGGTGTCCAAATGCAAACAAATGCACTACTGATGCAACCCTAACCCAGGCATGTGATCCTCTGGGGATGCTCAAGCACACGGTCTTCAGTGGGCAGACATAACGATTAAGAGACGTATACTTGCCTTGTACAAGTTTAATATTAATTCCTTTGGCTAGATCTAAACTCGTGAGGCATGAAAACCTTGCCATATTCTGGACACAGAAAATAAACAGAAGCCAGCACAACTCTCTCCACCCCCAATTTTAAAATCTCCCTAGCACTTGGGCAGAAGTAGTCAAATCGTTTTCAGGTGAAGAATCTGCTACATGCCACCAAACCAGAGCCTCTGGGTAGAGGGCTCTGGATACATAACTGTATCAAGGAGACAGTGAAGCAGACATACCTAGGAAAACCCAAATGTTCCTTGGATCCTGAGACAGCTGATAAGCACCCAGGCCGGCTAGACTTCCGAAAAGCAGCCCAGCGGCCAGCGACGGGACGCTACCTGTATGGAAGCAAACAGTTCTGCATTATAACATCAGATGCTCATTAACAGAAGTCACCAAGTCTCCTTTCCCTCCAGGAGAAAACAGCAAAGAGAATTTCTCTCCATACAGCTCAAAACCAAGGAGCCCTCAAGCAGGAAAATGTGTTGTGGTATTTGCTATTTTACAGAGAAATCAGGGTAACGCCACATTATTCCTCTCTTTTTTAATATACAGACGCTTCCATCTGGGGAGAAAAGAAGGGCTCTTCACCAGGCCTGATGAACCAGTCAGGTGTTGGAATGTCCAGAGGCAGAACCTCAGGCAAATCCCCAAAGGAGAGGGAAACAGGGGCAGTGAATTCAAAACAAAACAAAACCAAACCTGGAGAGTAAGAATTCTGGTGTGTGTTGGGGTGGGGAAGGCAGGCTAGAAAAGAGGTAGAAACAGCACGTTTACTGATAGACCTGTGACTGATGAGAGACTTCAAAAACTGAGCGCGTAAAGAAAAGAGGTTCCTTCCTACTCCAAAGAGCACAGAGATAAGAACACTCTGGGGTCAAGGCTGATGTGTGGTAGTCAATGATACTAACAATCTACTACCACTCCTGCCCACCATCTGTAGATAAACAAGCCAAGAACAAGGGAGTACACAAGAAGCTTGACTTGGGTCGGCCAGATAATGGGAAACCAAGTGCAAGAGGCAGCTACGGGACTGAAAATAAGCCTGCACTCAAGCTAGAGGGCTTAAAGCAAACTTGACTCAAACAAGATCGCGCTCTGGGGACCCCAGGGCCTCACTCTTTACCAGTGGCTACATGACGATCTTAAGAGGTTAAGTAGCTACAAACCATACCTGCTTTTGCATAGCCAATGATCCCACCAGAAGCAACGAGGGCTGCATAGCCGAAGCCAATCCAGTGTAAAGGCACTCTGAAAATGAAAGTGTAAGAGACCAGTGCCAACCAAGTCTAAAAAATAAAAACGACAAGCCCAGGACGGGACTAAAACGTCATCATTCCATAACAGTCCTATCACACTGTATAAATGAAAATAAATCCTAGAGGTTGGAGGACTTGCCTGGAGTCAGTGACGGAGCTGGGACTCAAACTCTGGTCCCTGGCCTACATGTCCATGCTCCGATAACCCCAGGCTGCCCGGCTGTCTACTCTTAGGGCCCTTTTCAGATCAGGAAAGAAGCTCTGGTTTTGAGAAGTTCTCGGCCACTCCGCTCCCGTTCACTGTGTACTTACAGTGGGCCGGAGTCGTTCTGCATTGCTCTCTTTCACTCGGATGAGACGGAAGACTACAGCTGACCTGCACCTGCAGAGGAGACGCTGGATCAGAGGGTAAAAACAGCACGTCCCTTCTAGAAAGAAGTGGATCCTACTTTCAGCTCCACTCCTTAGCAGCTAAGAGGTAATGTACAAGCTACCAACCTCTCTAAGCCTCAGTTTCCTTTACCTTACTGTGAGGATAAGAATGGTACAAATTTCCTGGGGCGGCTGTGGACATTAAACAAAATTGCAAGTAAAAGCGCTTAGCCACTAGTAAATGCTGAGCAGAAACCAACCATTTGAGTAATAACCTCCACCCCAATAGCACAGGGCTACAGTAAACAGCAAAACTGACCAGCTCTGTCCAGGTAATAAGTTTACCTTTTCATCAACTAACCAAGTTATTACTGAATCGGAAAATAAGTACCTCCCGATCCCTTAATTCAACTATTTTAGCTACCGCTTTCCGCTCCTGCCCAAAGAACTGAATTATTTCAAAACTCAACACGTGCAAACTTTTAGACAGCTAACTTAACTTCTGTATCCAAATCCTAGCTCTTGTTAAGACTGGGGGTGGGGGGTGATAAAGGGTGTAAAATACAGGAAAGCCAAAGTCAAAGTCATAATTAACGTGGGACACTTCGCTCTTGGCAAAGAAATGCATCTGGTACCCAGTGAGGTTTAACGTGAAAGCAATGAAACCTCTTTTGTTTAAATTGTTAATTGTGCGGCAGGGGGCTACTCGGAATTGCGCCGGTTATTAACTGCAATTAGCACTGAGTCAGCGAAATTTTCAAGGAGCTAGAGCAATAAAACCCCCAGGAAACGAATCCCCAGTAGCTACACTCGTAAGCTCTGGCCTTCAGAGCTCAGGGCTTCTGCAAGGTTGACGACTTTTTTTTTTTTTTTAATTTTTTAATGTTTTATTTATT